CAGGGTGTCGAGGGTACTTTCAAAATATTGGGTGGGGAGAGACAGGGAAGTCTAAAGGCAGAAATTACAGGTGAAACACACACACAGACACATACAGATTCATTACTGGTGTAGTGGAACAAGGCATCTTTTTTGGGGGGGTGGGGGGAGATGGAGTCTTGCTCTGTCACCCAGGCTGGAGCCCAATGGTGCAGTCTTGGCTCACTGCAACCTCTGCTTCCTGAGTTCAAGCAATTCTCCTGCCTCAGCCTCCTGAGTAGCTAGGAATACAGGTGCGCGCCACCACGCCCAGCAAATTTTTGTAGTTTTGTATTTTTAGTAGAGACAGGGTTTCACCATGTTGACCAGGCTGCTTTTGACTCCTGACCTCAGGTGATTAGCCCCCCTTGGCCTCCCAAATTGCTGAAATTATAGGTGTGAGCCACAATGCCGGGCCCAAGGCATCTGAAAGGAGTAAAGGAGACAGGTGAAAGACCCACAGCAGGGGTACCTGGGCTGGCTTTGGAATGAAGAGAGGTTGCCCCTCCTGGAGGCAGGAGGGAAGGAAGGTTCCGGACAGAGGCGGAGACCATGCAGCCAGCTCGGGTGGCTCACACCCGGAATCCCAGCACTTTGGTAGGCCGGGGTGGGCGGATCACGAGGTCAGGAGTTGGAGACCAGCCTGACCAACGTGGTGATGCCCTGTCTCTACCAAAAATACAAAAATTAGCTGGGTGTGGTGGCGCGTGCCTGTAGTCCCAGCTACTTGGGAGGCTGAGGCAGGAGAATCGCTTGAACCCGGGAGGCAGGGGTTGCAGTGATCACACCACTGCACTCCAGCTCGGGGGACAGAACGAGACTCCTTCTCAAAAAACAAAACAACAACAACAAAACATGCAAAGGTCAGGTCCAGTGGCTCTCACCTGTAATCCTATAATCCCAGCACTTTGGGAAGCCATGGTGCAAGGATCACTTGAGTCCGGGAGTTCAAGACCAGCCTGGACAATATAGCAAGACCATATTCCTACAAAAAGAAAGTACAACATTAGCTGGCACAGTGGCACATGTCTGTAGTCACAGCTACTGGGGAGGCTGAAGTGGAAGGATCCTTTGAGCCCAGGAATTCGAGGCTACAGTGAGCTATGAACAAGCCACTGCATTCTTGCCCGGACAACACAGTGAGACTCTGTCTCAAAACAAAAACAAAAAAAGCAGGCTCCCGCCTGTAATCCCAGCACTTTAGGAGGCTGAGGCGGGGGGATCACAAGGTCAAGAGATGGAGGCCATCCTGGGCAGCATGGTGAAACCTCATCTCTACTAAAACACAAAAATTAGCTGGGCGTGGTGGTGCAGCCCTGTAGCCCCAGCTTCTCAGGAGGCTGAGGCAGGACAATTGCTTGAACCCGGGGGAGCCTGCAGTGAGCTGAGATCGTGCCACTGCACTCCAGCCTGGCGACAGAGTAAGACTCTCTCTCTCAAGAAAAGCAAAGATGTGGACAGGAACTGGCAGAAAGTTCTCTACATGATGTGCAGGACAGTTATCTGCTGAGGGGCAGGAGTGGGCTTGGGTGTCTGAGGACTTTGAGGGAGGTTTGCAGGGGCATTGTTGTGGGGTATTGAGGCGGAACGAAGGGAGGTCAGTGAGAAAGAGGGGGCAGGCTGAGGCAGGAGCCTCCCATTAGAGCTGACCGCTGCCTTTTAGGTAGAAGAAGGTTTGTAACAGAGTGGGAGGGGCCGAGGGAGAACTCATAGAGGGAGTATCTAGGAGACCCCTGAACACTTAGCGAACACAATGAGTCCTGAAGAGGCAGAGCGAACCCGGGAGCTCAGAAAAGCTTACCAGAGGAGGTGACACTTGAGCTGGGTTTCATAGGTTGAATAGGAGCTCTGAAGTTGATGGAGAAAGTAATAGAACCAAAGGGAAGTCCACAAGGCAAGGCATAAGGGCTAAAAGAAATGGTGAAGGGGGCCGGGTTTGGTGGCTCATGCCTGTAATCCCAACACTTTGGGAGGCTGAGGTCCGTGGATCACTTGAGGTCAGGAGTTTGAGATCAACCTGGCCAATATGGTGAAACCCTCCCTCCACTAAAAAATAAAAAAAAAGAATTATCCAGGCATGGTGGTGCATGCCTGTAATCCCAGCTACTCGGGAGGCTGAGGCAGGAGAGTTATTTGAACCAGAGTGGCAGAGATTACAGTAAACTGAGATCGCGTGGCTGATTCCAGCCAGGGGGAAAGAGCGAAACTCTGTCTAAAAAGAACAAAGAAACAGCGAAGGGACTGTGTGAGTCCAGAGGAAAAGGGACTAACATCCTAGCCGGGGAAGGTGGAGAGGGCTTCCTGGAGGTGGTGATATTCCAGATGAGTCTTGAAGGGGAAAGCCAATATTGGTTATCATAAAAATGTAAGAGTGTGGCCGGGTGCAATGGACCCTGAGGAGGCAGAGCAAACTGGGGAGCTCAGAAAGGCTTACCGGAGGAGGTGACATTTGAGCTGGGTTTCAAAAATTGAATAGGAGTTCTGAAGTTGAAGGAGAAGATAATGGAACCAAAGGGAAGTCCACAAGGGAAGGCATAAGGGCTAAAAGAAATGAAGGGGGCCGGGGGCGGTGGTCCACGCCTGGAATCTTAACACTTTGAGAGGCCGGCGTGGGTGGATCACTTGAGGTCAGAAGTTCCAGACCAACCTGGCTAACATGGTGAAACCCCATCTCTACTAAAAATACAAAATTTGGCCAGGCGTGGTGGCGCGTGCCTGTAATCCCAGCTACTCAGGAGGCTGAGGCAATAGAATCGCTTGAACCCGGGAGGCAGAGGTTGCGGTGAGCCGAGATCTCACCATTGTACTCCAGCCTGGGAAACAAGAGCGAGACACCAGCTCAACACAAAAAGGTAGAAGTGGTACCTTCTTAGTCTGTCAACAAGCCTGTCCTGCCTTCTCTCCCGGACATGGGCACCATGCCCACCCACCGTGCCATGGCTGGATGGGGAGAATCCTTGCACAGCTCTTCTGCCCCTGTGCCTTGGCTTATGGATTTCTGTTTGCTTCCGTTATTTTCTCCTTCGACTTCAGAACTCCTATTCGACCTTTGAAACCCAGCTCAAATGCCACCTCCACGGGTAAGCCTTCCTAATTGCCCTCTGTACTTTTGTGGCAATGGAATAAGCTCAGTTGTCATTTTTGTTTGTGTTTTTTGAGACGGGGTCTCACTCTGTTTCCCAGGCTGGAGTGCAGTGGCAAAATCATAGGTCACTGCAGCTTCGATCTTCTGGGTCCAAGTGATCCTCCCACCTCAGCCTCCTGAGAGGCTGGGGCTACAGGCATGAGCCACCACGGCCAGCTAATTTATTTTTTGTTTTTTGGCAGAGATGGGGGTCTCACCCTGTTGCCCATGCTGGGTCACTCATTGTCTGACTTATAATATCTGAGTGTCTATTTCCTGAGGTGAGGACAGTGGCTAAGCCTACTTGTAAAGACAAGGTACAGGACATATCAAGCATCACATGAGAAGCACAAAGCCATCATGGGGTGACACCTGCCATTTGTCTTACACTAGTTAGTTGAGTGGGAATGGGACTCTGCCTTAGTCCGTGAACTCCCTGAGGGCAGGGACAGCGTCCCCACAGGGCTGCTCAAGCCAGCAGTCTCGTGCAGGGCGGTATCACATGCTCCGTGGATACTCGCAGATAAGAAGAAATGGGACTGTATTACTTACCTGTAATGTGACTTTTGGGAGGTGACATTATCTCTGTGATGTATTTTTTCTTTTTCTTTTTTCTTTTTTTTGAGACGAAGCACAGAGTCTCGCTCTGTCGCTCAGGCCGGAGGGCAGCCGTGCCATCTTGGCTCGCTGCAACCAGCGCTTCCCAGGTTCAAGTGGTTCTCCTGCCCCAGCCTCCTGAATAGCTGGGATTACAGGTGTCTGCCACCACGCCCGGCTAATTTTTGTTTGCCAGGCTGGTCTCAGACTCCTGATCTCAAGTGATCCACCTGACTCGAACTCCCAAGGTGCTGGGATTACAGACATGAGCCTCCACACCCGGCCTCTGTGATGTTTCTGCATCTCTAAAATAACAACGCATAGTGGGTATTGACCTACTACATGTATTCACTATACCATCACTGTCCATATCTCTATCCCTCAGCATTTTAATTTTATTTTTTTAGAGACGGAATCTTGCTGTGTTGCCCAGGCTGGTCTCAAAACTGAGTTCAAGTGATCTCCCACCTCTACCTCCCGAGTAGCTTGGACTGCAGACGCGTGCCACCATATGCTGATACTTGTTTTGTTTGTGTTTTCAGTAGACACTGGGTTTCATGTCGGCTAGGCTGGTCTCGATCTGATCTCGTGAACCGCCTGCCTGGGACTCCCAAAGTGCTGGGATTACAGACGTGAGCCGCCGCGCCTGCCCTGTCCAGATGGATACTTTTAAAAAACATTTTAATACTTCTTTAAAATTTTCTTTTCACTCTTTTGACAAATTAAAAAAAAATTCTTTTATATAGATGGGGTCTTACTATGTTGTCCAGGCTAGTCTCGAACTCCTGGCCTCAAGCGATCCCCTCTTCTCAGCCTGCCAAACCTCTGGGATTTCAGGCGTGAGCCACCGCGCCCAGCCAGCAGTCAGCGCTGGCCACTCCCAATCCCATTTTACAGAAGAGAAAACTGAGGCTCGGGGAGGGCGGCAAGGCAAGAGCTCCTGGCGTCTGGCCAAAGTCAGGAAATTGTTGCTGCCATCCGAGGGGAAAATACGCACGGGCCCTGCAGATTGTCGCCGCTCGGGGTGGGAGAGCCCGTGCCTGGGGGCGTGGTGAGCCAGGGCCCCGTGCTGGGGCGCGGAGCGGGGCGGCTCGGACTCCGGGAGGGGCGGGGAGACCGGGCTGCGGGGCGATCCCGGGGTGCGCTCGGCGCGGCGCGGCGCGGCCGGGGCGGGGAGGGGTGCGGCCCGCCCCCTCCCGGCCCCACCCCCAGCCCCGGCGCGGCGGCTCCTTTAAGAGCGGGCGGGGCGCCCCCTGGCGGCGGAGCGGCGCGTGCGGCCGGAGCCGGAGCGGATCCCGGAGCCGGGGCGGAGCGGGCCGAGCCGGCCGAGCCAGCAGCCGAGCTGGGGGCGCGGGCGGGCGGCATGTACCGGGCCCGGGCGGCGCGGGCGGGGCCGGAGCCCGGCAGCCCGGGGCGCTTTGGGATCCTCAGCACCGGGCAGCTCCGGGACCTGCTTCAGGATGAGCCCAAGCTGGACCGGATCGTGCGGCTCAGCAGGAAGGTAGCGCGGGGGGCGCGGGCGGGGGGCGCGGGGGACGGGCAGCGGCCTGCGGGACCTGCCGCCCGAGCGAACGGCCGCGCGGGCCGGGCCGCGGGGCCGCCCGTGGGCGCGGAGCCTGGCACGTACGAGTGGGCCCCGCGGAGCCACCCCCGGGGGAGGGGGCGCTTGGAGCTGGCCTGGGGCGGGTGAGGCGCTGGGGACGGGGGGGAGGCGCCCGTGCACCCCCGGGATGGCCGCGAGGCGTGTCCTACAGCGGATGCTCCGGGGAGGTGTGTTCCGGGGCGCTGTGTTGTGGGGGGCCCTGGCTCGCACACCCACGTTCTATAAGGGCCAGAAAGAGGAGGCGCCTTCCACGGGGAGAACTGGGGGCCTGTTTGACACCTGGAGGGGCCCTTGTGGGGGTCCACGCATGCTGAGGGCGCCAGAGGGGGCTTTGTGCCTGGCGTTGGGGAGGGGTGCTGGAAGCTGCCGTGTGTATTGCATAGGCCACCGTCAGAGAAAGTTGTATATTTCACGGGAGATAGGCCCGGGCTGGTGTCTGTGGGGGGCAGGAAGGGAAAGTGTGTGTTGAAAGCAGGCAGGCGAGGAGGGGCTTATGCATCCCACAGGGGACAGATGGAGGGGAGTGCGTTCTCCAGGGGCAGGGAGGGGAGGCCGGGCCCTGCTAGAGACAAGGAAGAAGCCTTCTCCAGGGCCAGGGGCTGCTGTAAGCCGGAGCAGGGAGGAAAAGGGGGTGTGTATTCCTTGGGGTGTGAGGATTCCACTGGAGGGCAGAGGAGGGGGTGGGAAGGGAGAGAGGGTGACCCGTGGGGGTGCTGTGAGGGGACAGGGTGCGGACATCCCTCTGGAGGGGACGAGCAGGGGTGGGAGTGTTTCCAGTGCAAACACCTGAGGAGGAAACAGACAAAGGCCTGGAGTGAGAGGGAAGCTGTCCATGCGTGGAAAATGGGGCAGAGGAGGGAGGGGCACTCCTCCGGGACCTGAGCAGACATATTAATTGAAAAATTAAAAATTAACTAACATTTGTAGAGGCCTTTATAGTTTGCCTCACTTAAGTCTCGCAACAACCCGGTAAGTGGATGTTTTTAACTCGATTTATAAAAGAGGAAACTGAGGCCAGAGAGGGAGCTCAGGGTCCCCCTGAGTTGCTCTGGCTGTCTGGTCCCAGCCTGTCGCCGTCCCTTCACCTGTTGGGTTCGCCACCGTCGAGGCTGGGGCCTGACAGGTGCCTCTGGCCAGGCCGGAAGGCACGGTCGCCCAGCATGCCAGTAGGGTGGACGCGGCAGAGCCCCTGGGTGAGCCTCTTCGCTCCTCTCTGCCCGCAGTTCCAGGGCCTGCAGCTGGAGCGTGAGGCCTGCTTGGCCTCCAACTACGCGCTGGCCAAGGAGAACCTGGCGCTGAGGCCCCGCCTGGAGATGGGCCGGGCTGCCCTGGCCATCAAATACCAGGAACTTCGAGAGGTGGCCGAGAATTGCGCTGACAAGCTGCAGCGGCTGGGTGAGGGCATGTCTGGGAGAGCCGCCTGGGGCTGGCGAGGGCAGTGGGCCCTCCGGCGGGTTGGCCTAGGAAAGTGCCAGGCTCTGATGAATGGGACCTGGGTGGATCTGCTTCTGGGCAATAGAGTTGAGGAAGCGAGAGGGAGTGAGGAGGGTTGGCTGGGAGAAAGGGGACCCAATACCCAGGGGTCCCTTTGAGTTGCTCTGGGGGACAAAGCTTCCAGTGTCTCTTGTGCAACAGGACAAGGGGCAGAAACTTGGTAGGGGTGGGATCCATAAAGCCATCACGTGGGCACGATACAGATGAGGAAACTAAGGTTCTAGGCCGGGGGAGGGGGAATGCGTGCAAACCCGGGGCCCTGGCCTGTCTGTCACCCTGTCCCTCTGTGGTCCTCAGAGGAGAGCATGCATCGCTGGAGTCCCCACTGCGCACTGGGCTGGCTGCAGGCTGAGCTAGAAGAGGCGGAGCAGGAGGCAGAGGTGAGGGGTCGGGGAGGCTGGGGCTGGGGACCAGGAGGGAGACTCATCCTACACCACTCCCTGGCTCATTTCTTACACCAAAGGCTAGGGAGCCCCCCCTCCAGGAAGCCCACCCTAAATGCCTGGCCCATAGGAGAGGCTAGCATTGCTGTCCGCTAGCACTGGACAGCCAGCAGGGCTCACTTTCCTGCCTGTGACTTTTTTCGGGGTCCCCTGTGACTGTGCCAGGACAGCGTGGATCTGGGGCTGTAAGAGGAGCGGGGGCAGACTTTTTGCTGGGTTGGGAGGGCAGCGCTCAGTAAGCCGAAGGTGGTGTGCCCCAGAGGCCACGTGAAGTCTATACCTCATGTGTCTCTGCCTCTGCTCCTGCCTCATCTCTGACCCAGCAGGTCTGGTGATGGCATCCTCATTTTAGAAGTTAGGGCCGGGTGTGGTGGCTCCCACCTGTAATCCCTGCACTTTGGGAGACCGAGGCAGGCGGCTCACTTGAGGTCAGGAGTTCAAGACCAGCCTGACCATCAGGGCGAAACCCCATCTTTACTAAAAATAAATAAATAAATAGAAAGCTGGGAGTGGTGGTGCATGGCTGTTATCTCAGCCACTTGGGAGGCTGAGGCAGGAGAATTGCTTAAACTTGGGAGGCGGAGGTTGCAGTGAGCTGAGATCACGCCACTGCACTCCAGCCTGGGCGACAGTGAGAGGAAAAAAAAAAAAAAAAAAAAAAAAGGATATTTGTCTGCAGTTCACTCAGCAAGTAGTCAGAGGCAGGCCCAGGCTGGAACGCAGGTGCCCTGTCCCCCAGCTGAGGGGTGATCACCGTGGGGAGGGCGGGCCTGGGGTGGGGCCGGGAGTGAGGACCGGCTCCCAGTCTGTGGTCACGCCCCTCCCAAGCCCTCCCTTCCTTCCTGGCCCAGGAGCAGATGGAGCAGCTGCTGCTGGGGGAGCAAGGCCTGGAGACCTTCCTGCCCGCCTTCCAGCGTGGCCGTGCCCTGGCCCACCTGAGGCGGACGCAGGCGGAGAAGCTGCAGGAGCTGCTGCGGCGTCGCGAGCGCTCTGCCCAGCCGGCCCCCACCTCGGCGGCCGATCCCCCCAAATCCTTCCCGGCTGCAGCTGTCCTGCCCACTGGGGCTGCCCGGGGGCCACCAGCAGTGCCCCGGAGCCTGCCCCCCTTGGACTCCCGCCCAGTGCCCCCACTGAAGGGCTCCCCCGGGTGCCCCCTCGGCCCGGCCCCTCTGCTGAGCCCTCGGCCCTCGCAGCCAGAGCCCCCCCACCGGTAGGATCCAGGGCGTGGCCCCCCAGTGGGGGGTCCTAGACAAACTTGATGCGTGGCTCCTCCTCCTCCCCCACTGCCTGGGTGGGGGGAGGGGCAGGCCCCTCCCCCTGGCCTCAGGCAGGCCCTGGCCCTGGAGGCTGAGCTGGGGAGGAGGGTCGCCTGGACGAGGCCCGAGAGGGGGCTGGGTGGGGGTGGGCAGGGGGTTACGCCTCTGGCGCTGAAGACACCCCTGCCTTTTTTGTTTCCCTGGCCCGGGGCCTCCAGGGTGGTGGACCAGCCCCGTAAAAGAACTTGACTCACCTGTGGGGGCCTGGGAAGATGCCTGCGCCCCCCAGGGGCCCTGCCAAGGGGACCGTCGCACCCCGCCACTCCACTGGGCTCGCACAACGCCAAGCCAAGGCCGCCAGGAGTGTTTTACATCATGTCCTGAGCCTACCCTTCCTCCAAATTCTGGGGCCCACGGCCTAGGAGCCAGGTGGTCAGGCCTTGGCTGTGGGGCCAGGGACACGGTGGCCCTGGGGCTGCTACGTGCCCCGCACATGCTCCAGACCCTGGGGCCAAGGTAGACCAGGGGCTTCTGACCTGCGCAGGTGAGTGGGCCATCCCCAGGAAAGACCATTCTGTATTTTTCTGTCCCTGTCTCCTTAGAATGGAAGCTTTTTGAGGGCAGGTCCTTGTCTTTGTACGTTCTGTCCCCAGCCCCGCCTCTTAGGGGCCGTCAATAAATGTGATGATGAGGATGACATGCTGCCGGACTGCTCTCTGCTGTTGCAGCCTCCACGCCTCAGCTCCTGCGCTTCCACTTCCTACTTTTGAGATGCTCTCCCCTCCTTTCTGCCCATGCAAAGCCCAGCTGTCCGGGTCCAACACCGCTGCCGCCTCTTCGGTGAAGCCTTCTCTGATTACCAACCCATGAGGGTAGTTCCTAAATCTTAACTTCCCAGCACTTCCGGTCAGAAGCGCACACCGCTCCGTCTTCGTTCTCCAATTGCCTCACCTGTCTGCACCTTCTTTTCCTGGGTCGATCGTAAGCCCAAGGGGGATGGTACCTGGTCCTTCTCTGGCCTGCCAAATGACGGTCCCCATGGAGCGATGGAGGGTGTCCTGCAGGACTGACAGAATCTGTCCTCAGCCAGGGGAACACTAGGTGCCAGCTTGGCCGATGAGCGTGGGACAAGGAGATGGAATATGCCCTGGGTCAGCGCAGGTCACGTCCAATGACATGACATTTGGCAGGGAGGCATGGAAGTTCTTGCAAACCAAATGGGCTGGATGGGCTTTCTAGGGCTGTAGACTGTAGCTAGAGGGCGGCGCTGTGGGGGCCTCAGAGCCTCCAGGCCTAGTACGGGCCCCCTCCAGAACCTCCGTCCCACCTTGATCTCGGTCCCACTCTCCTCTCTGCTGGCACTTCAGCTGCTGGGGGCCGAGGGACATCAGAACCACTGAGTTCTGCTGATTGGACAGAAGAAGGAGCAGCCTTGGCAGACCTCTCCTCTGGCTCTCTTTCTCAGCACAGTCTGCGGCAGGCTCGGCCCCTCCTGCCCCGGCTGCCGGTTCCTGGTCCAAGTTTCCAGAGTGCAAAGTGTCTATTCCCATGAAAAAGTACTCTTGCCTCCATTTTATTTTCTTCTGAAAATGCATGGTCCCCCTGCAGTTGTGTGTGTGTGTGTGTGTGTGTGTGTGTGTGTGTGTGTGTGTGTGTTTGGCTTTCCTTCATGATGGAGGTGGAGTAGAATTTGCAACCAAAAGGGAAAAGCGGGCAAAGATTGGGCAGATCTGAGCCTTTTTCCGCTATCATGAATTGGGAAGCAGCCTTTAGAAGGCAGCGGTTGGCCAGGCGCGGTGGCTCACACCTGTAATCCCAGCACTTTAGGAGGCTGAGGCAGGCAGATCACAAGGTCAGGAGTTCGAGACCAGCCTGGCCAACATGGTGAAATCCCCGTCTCTACTAAAAATACAAAAATTAGCCGGGCGTGGTGGTGGGCAGCCTGTCATCCCAGCTACTCGGGAGGCTGAGGCAGGAGAATCGTTTGAACCCGGGGGGCAGAGGTTGTGGTGCGCTGAGATGGCGCCACGGCACTCCCGCCTGGGCAGCAAGAGCAAGACTCCATCTTAAAAAAAAAAAAAAAAAAAGAAGGCAGCGACTCCCAGGTTCAGCCTCCCCTCCCCAGGGCAGGTAAGCAGCACAGAAAGTTGAGACTTGGACAAGAGAGGGACTGGGAAGAAGTGTTACCATGGGAACCAGATGGGGTCCTTCAGAAGGCCTCCCACACACCTCGTCTTGCACAGAGCTGATTCTGCTTTTGAGGGGCAGGGAGTGAGACCCCTCGGTGTTGAGCTCCAGCCTGAAAATGACCACAGGCAGGTGAGGATGGGACACCCCCAGCGTGGAGTGGGCCCAGTTCTGGGTGGGCCACGGTAAGGCTTCAAGTTGGATGGTTTAAAATAAATCATTCACCCCTTTTGCTTGAAGGTACATAGACGGTTCTGGAAGGTTCAGTACTCTAGGCCCTTCCTTTTGCCTAAAACCTTCCGGAACTTGCTGCTTCCAGATTCTGGGGCCCCCAGGAATGTTCCTATGATCTTCTGTGAGAGAGAACAATCTTGAGGGTCTGCATCTGGGAGCTCATGAGAAAAGTCCTACCTATTAGATACCACCTTGCTTTTACAAAACAAAAAGAAATCTCCAAATAAAACTCCCATCCCTTTTTGACAAAAACAGAGCTCCCTGTTCCTTGAGAAAGTCTGTTATGTGTACCTCCTCATTTGCGAATCACTAGCTTCTGCGCATTTTCTAACCTCCCCCCTCTTGGTGGTTTCCAAATATGAAACATAGTAACATTAAATGTGCTTTTTCTTTCTCTTAACCAATCAAGGCTCACTGAGCTAAGCAGGCTCCAACCAGTGTGGGCTCAAAGCTTCCCCACTGAATCCCTTCGTCCCTGCAAAGCTATGGCTACGAGCTTGCCCCTGACCTCCAAGGCTAGAGAATCGAATGGTTTCTAAGAGACCCACTTGGACTTGCTGCGGTTTATCCCAGTATATACAAGGATTTTTAGACAGAAGATGGAGTGAAGGAACTGGGGTAACTGTATCAAAAGGCCTCTGGTCCTGTCTAAGAGCTTATCACTGCTGTTGACCTCTGGAGAGATTCTCCTTGTCCCACGTGAAAATAAGATTTCACTCAACCTCCCTATAGAAAGTGCAGGCTCTTGTAGCAACAGAGGATGTAGAAATTTGCAAACTCAAATGCCTCCAGGGGCCAGGAAGGTGACACAGAGTTGCCAAGCAGTCGCTTTCCAGCAAGAAGTACCTCCTGTCCCTATTTTTCTGAAATTACATGGTCCCTTTTTACTTTGTTGCCTTCTCTCTTGATGGACATGGGGTATGGAAATGATTTTCTGCTATGGGGAAAATGGTGCCAGTGGACGAAAGGTCTTTTACACTTCACCTCTGTTGGAGGAAGAATGGCAAACTGTGGAGCAACGTCTCATCTACGTGGACACAATTTTTTGTCTTTTTTTTTTTTTTTTTTTTTTGAGACAGGGTCTTGCTCTGTCACCTAGGCTGCAGTGCAGTGATGTGATCATAACTTACTTGCAATCTCAACCTCCTGGCCTCAAGCCATCCTCCCACCTCAGCTTCTCAAGTAGCTGGGACTACAGGTGTGTGCCACCATGCCTGGCTAATTTTTGAATTTTTTTTTGTAGAGATGAGGTGTTTTTTTGTTTTTCGGTTTCTTTTTTTCGAGATGAAGGCTCACTCTGTTGCCCAAGCTAGAGTGCAGTGGCACAATCTCAGCTCACTGCAACCTCCGCCTCCGAGGTTCAAGCGATCCTCCTGCCTCAGCCTCCCAAGGAACTTGGACCCCAGGTGTGCACCACCATGCCTGGCTTTCCCTCATCATCTTGCCCATGGGCAGGTGGCAGTGTGTGACTTCATCACAGGGTTGAGGATCTGAGAGGAGGAAAGTTCAGGACAGGGCCAACTTTTCTAGTGCACTGAATTCCAGAGTGTGGACCGATAGGGCCACCACTTACCAGCCGCCCCTCTCCTGGCCTGTTCGCATGGGATCTGGTGGCCTTCCAGGAAGCCCATCAGTTTGAAACACAGACCTCTCCCATTTCCGAAAAAGGGAGTGTTGGTGGCCACTCTAAGTCAATCGTGACCCAGTAGGACAGCTCTGAGGCCTGAACTAAGCTATTCCTAAGCAGCTGGGCTCATACAGAGGCGCACCCAATGAATGAAATGCCGGGACCTCAGAAGGAGGTAGGAGGAACTCTGCTCCTTCAACTCTGGGATCTGTAAAGGGTCATCTCATCCAACAATAAATAAAGGGCAGCAGGGCCGGGCGCGGTGGCTCATGCCTGTAATCCCAGCACTTTGGAAGGCCGAGGCAGGCGGATCACGAGGTCAAGAGATCGAGACCATCCTGGCCAACATGGCGAAACCCCCATCTCTACTAAAAATACAAAAATTAGCTTGGTGTAGTGGTGCATGCCTGTGGTCCCAACTACCTGGGAGGCTGAGGCAGGAGAATCGTTTGAACCCAGGAGGCAGAGGTTGCAGTGAGTTGAGATCGGGCCACCGCACTCCAGCCTGGCAACAGAGCAAGTCTCCGTCTCTAGATAAATAAATAAACAAATAAATAAATAAAGGGCAACAGAGGGGGAAAAAGCAGTTTGGCTCAGGAGAAACAAAGTTCCAGTCAAGCTCAAAGACAATACAATTGTCTGGATGTGTGTGCCTCTGGCTCCCGTCTCGTGGGCTGTCTCCCGTTCAGGACCCATGCCTGCTGCTTACTCAGCCTCGTGCTATATGCGTATCCGCTTCCCCACCCCGCTGAGGACAGCCTGGGCCCCTTTACCCTGCTCTCCCTTCCTGGGTCCAAACTTCTAGGGAGTTTTATTTTAGTTTGTGAAAAACAAAGAAAAAGGACTAATGCTGGGCATGTCTGAGCCATCCTCTACGACCAGGAATTGAGGAATAGCCCCTAGAAGGCAGGGGCTAGGGTCATGGCCGAGTTCAGCCTCCACTTGCTGGGAAGCAGCAGAGAAAGGAAAGACTGGAGCCAGTCCGAGTGAGTGGGAGAGCAATGTTTCCATGGAAACCTGTTGGGGTCCTTCAAAAAGCCTTCCACACATTTCCCTTTCCGTGAAGGGCACAGGCTCGGTTCGGGGCCGGCAGGGAGAGGTTAGCTCTGGCCTACAAAACCCTGAGGCACCCAGGAATGAACTTATGATGAATGGAGTGGGCCTTGTTCTGGGCCATGGGAGAGGCTGAGGGTTGGATGATGGTTAGTAAACCTTACAGAATACTTTGCTTACGGTTCCATGGAATGCCCCGTAAGTTTATTTCAGTCTGGACGCACCCCGAGTCTGAAACCTTCTGAACTTTCTATCTACTTCAGATTCTGAGGCCTGCAGGGAACGTCCTTGGCTGGGATCTTGAGTGAGAAAACAAACTTCTATTTCAAGGAATCTATGCTAGTAGGCCACTAGTGCTTTACAAATCCACACCGAAAGAACACTCTTTTTGTTTTATTTTTTTGAGACAGAGTCTTGCTCTTTTGCCCAGGCTGGAGTGCAATGGAGCAATTTCAGCTCACTGGAACCTCCACCTCCTGGGTTCAAGCAGTTCTCCTGCCTCAGTCTCCCAAGTAGCTGGGATTACAGGCACACGCCACCAGGACTGTCTAATTTTTATACTTTTAGTAGAGATGAGGTTTCACCATGTTGGCCAG